CTCTTACGCTAAGGTGATCACGAGTCCTCACTCCTCTCATTGGCAGACGCTTATGGAAGAAGAGATGGCATCCTGGAAGTCCACTTGCACCTACGTTGACGCAGTTCCCCCTCCTGAGGCGAACCTAGTCAATGGTATGTGGATTTTCGTGGTGAAGAAATCGCCGGGTTCCCCGCGTGTCTTGAAGGAGAGTTATGTTGCACGAGGCTTCAGTCAACAAGAGGGGGTCGACTACTTTCAGACATTCTCCCCCGCCCCAAGGATGACGACTCTTTAGGTGTGACTGCATATTGCAGCACAACGTGACTAGGAGCTGCACTCGCTCGACTTTTTGACAGCTTCCATGCAGGGTGGTCTCCACAAGTAGATTTGGTTGCGCCGCCCAACTGTCTTTCCTGAGGGTACCAAGTGGAGCCTCCGATGGCCAGTCTATGGTCTCCGTCAGGCAACCTGCGAGTGGCATGACACTTTGAGGACGACACTTGCGATTCTTGGCTTCGCTCCTTCGACTAACCGACCATCTGCGCACTGACTGCAATTTGCTGCCGTTCTACATCCTTGCGTACGTCAATGACTTGGTCTTCGCAACTGCTGCCACTGAGGCACTGTCCCGTGTGAAGGCCAAGGTGGAAAAGAGACACACCTGCACTGACCTGAGTGAGCTGCAGAGCTATTTTGGCCTGCAAATCACCCGAGATAGAGCAGTGCCTACCGTCACTCTAACTTAGTCACACATGTGTGACTAAGTTAGAGCAATGCCTAAGTTAGAGTGATGGTGGGCACTGCACCAGATCCTTCAGCACTTCGGCTTTCAGTTCTCCTCGCCACAGCCCAATCCCTTGCCTACGAGCCATACACTCTCAACTCCACCTTCGGAAAAGTCCGTAGAGCCTAGTGTCCGTATCAAAAGCTTGTGGGTTACATCATGTACCTGATGATGTGCACTCGGCCTGACCTCGTGTACCCTCTCAGCATCGTGGCTCGCTACGTTGCGCCCGGGAGTCATCGACCAATGCTGCACTACTTGGCCAAGACATCAGGCTTGGGGGTTGTGCTTGGGGCTTGTGCTTGGGGGACGGGGTTCAGTTGTGCTCACAGGACACTCATACGCCTTGTGGGCGACGACCAGGCCTTTACAGAGCTACACTTTCAGCCTTGGCACTAGTTCTATCTTGTGGAGGTCCACTTGCTCCTCTTCTATGCTTAGCTCTTTCTATGAATCCGAGATCTACACTAAGGCCATGGCTGCACATGAGTTACTCTGGCTGCCCTACTTGCTCTCAGACTTGGGTGGGCGGCCTCGATCTGCACCAGTTTTGGGTGGGCCACTTTGGGTTGTCAGCAAGGCCATGGTTTCCTTGTGTCAGGAGCAAAGACGCGAAAGCAGAACAATGCATATTGGCCTTCGTCACTTTCTTGTGCAGGAGTTACAACATCGAGGTCAGCTTCGCCTTTCTTACGTGCCCTCTCAAGCCAACACTGCTGATATTTTCACCAAGGCCCTTGAGTCTAATGATCATCAGCGTTTCTGCACTACAATTTGCCTAGTGCCTACCCTGCCTCACTTGCTTGCCTCTTGATTTAGCCTTGTTCTTGATATACATCTATACCTGCACGTGTACACTTGCTAGGTTGTGATCATTGTACTGCTATAGCTGTTATAATACCGCTTGTGAACTGGCCTTCCGACCTCTTGCTTGTGCTCGGACCGTGTGGTGATCTTGAGATCCACCTTGAGCTTTGCTTTGTTTCTTCTCTTGTCTGGTATTGTAACCATTTGTTGTTCTTGCTATCCCTCACTTAATTTAGGGGGGTGTTGTGAAAATAAAAACGAGAATGAATGTGACTAAGGGAAAGTTGGATACAAGTACAAAACCTAGAAATGTGTTGTACCCCATATGTGCTACCCCACTATAGCCTACATAGGCTAAGTCATATAAGCCTAACACACCCCCATAGGCAAAGTGGGGGAGAACAAGGGGTCACAAGACCAGTCAAGCAAAGCAAAGCAAGCTCAGGGTGGATCACAGAGTCACCACACAATCCGAGCACAAGAGCAAGTCCACAAGGCCAGTTCACATGCAAGATCATATATATAAAGGTAAACAAGCAAGCGCAGGTATAGAAACAGGATAGTACAAGAAAGGTAAAGAAGTGAGCAAGTGGGGCCAAGTAGGCACAAGACCTAGCATAGTACAGAAGCGCTGATGATTACAAGGGGGAAGTGCCTTGGTGAAGATATCAGCAATGTTGGCCTCAGAGGCCACGTAGGTGAGGAGGAGCTAAACACGCTGCTGCAGCTCACGAGCTAGGAAGTAGCGGAGAGCAATGTGCTTCGTTCTGTGCTCCAGTCTGTGCTCCCGACACAAGGCCAGCATGACCTTGTTGTCTACGTACAGAACTGGAGGGGAATGAGGCGGCTCTCCTAGGTCAATCAGCAGGTAGGTGAGCCAGCGTAGCTCCTGTGCAGCCATGGCCCCTGCGTAGATCTCGGACTCACAACTAGAGCTGAGAACAGAAGACGAGCGAGTAGACCGCCACGAAACAGAACCAGAGCCAAGGCTGAAGTTGTAACCCTTTGACGTCCGCTGCAGAGCCTGGTCGTCAACCCAAGAAGCGTCACCGTGACCTGTGAGGACCACTCGGCGGTGCCCTCTAAGCACTAGCCCCAAGCCCGACATACTGCACACGTAGCGCAACAACCTCTTCACTGCAGCTATGTGCTCTGGTCGGTGTCTCCGAGGAGCAACATAGCGTGCCAAGATGCTAAGAGGGTATGCAAGGTCAGGTCGTGTGCAGGTCATCAGGTACATGAGGCAGCCAACAAGCTCTGGGTAAGAGCCACTAGGCTCTACGGACTCATCTGAAGGCAGAAATGAGAGCAAGTGGCGAGTAGATAGAGGAGTGGCCTGAGGCAAGGAGTACGTCAAGTCGAAGCGCTGAAGGACCTGTTGCACCATGTGTGACTGAGTCAGGGTAATGGTGCGCAGTGCTCTGTCCTGGGTGATCTGCAAGCCAAGGTAGCTGCGCAGCTCACCCAGGTCTGTGCACGTGTGTCTCTTCTGCAGCTCCGACTTCACGTGGGCGAGTCCAGCAGTGTCAGCAGTGGCAGAGACCAAGTCATCGACGTACACGCGGATGTAAATCGGCGGCAAAGTGGTGTCGGTGCGCAAAAACAACGACGGGTCCGCTGTAGAGGGAGCAAACCCAAGAGCCGCAAGTGTAGTCCTCAGTGTGTCGTGCCACTCACGCGGCGCCTGGCGGAGACCGTAGACTGGTCGCCGGAGGCTACAATGGGTACGAGGAGGAAACGACCCAATGAAGCTAGGTGCGCGGCGTAGCCACATCTCCTCGTGCAGGCTGCCCTGCGAGAAAGCAGTGCTGAAGTCAAGAGAGTGAAGCTCGTAGTCGCGCTAAGCAGCTATGTGCAGCAGCACCCGAAGAATGGTCATCTTCGGGGTGGGAGAGAAGGTCTGAAAGTAGTGAGCTCCCTGCTGCTGACTAAAGCCTCGAGCGACGTAACGCGCCTTGAAGACAGGCGGAGAGCCCGGCGACCGCTTCACCCTGAAAATCCACATGCCACTGATGATGTTCGCCCAAGGTGGGGGAACCTCGTCAACGTAGGTGCTTGTGGACTTCCAGGAAGCCATCTCTGCGTCCATGGCTGACTGCCACTGTGAGGAGTAGGGACCCTCGATCGCCTCAGCAAACAATCGAGGGGTCGGGATGTCTGGTGCATCCGGGTCTCCCTCAAGGGCAACCAGCGTTGACACGAGATGGGGCAAAGCAGCAGCAAAGCACTAGAACTGCTCCTGCCTGTTGTCAAGGACGTCCGTGCTAAGAGAACACTCACCCTCGACGGACGGAGGACAGACAGACTCAAACTCAGCAACGAGACTAGCAGCGTAGTCTAGACGACAGCGAGCAGCGAAGTCGACAAACTCAGCAGCTAGGGCAGACGTAGCAGTGGACTCAAAGGAAGGGTCAGTGACAACAGTAGCCAGGAGACGCGTGACAGAAGGACTGGCAACATGAAGAGAGTCAGACTCCAGGTCAGAAAGAGTTGGAAGAAAGGACTCTGGAGGAGATGGCAACGGGACACGCAGAGCAGCAGTGGAAGGACGCAGCGCCATATGGTGTGTGCCGGGGACCGCAGGAGGACGCGGACGCGTAGAACGACAACTAGTGCGAGCAGCACGATAAGGCGACCCAGGACGAGACGCAAGCTCACGACGCTCAGCAAGACCTCCAGTACGACCCGTGTAGGGAGAAGGAGCAGGTAGAGGGGAGGCGGGCTGTAACTGTGCCTAGGACTGGACAGGCTGTGGACACTCTAAGGGAGGAGCAGGACCAGTATAGAGCGAGAGACCAAGAAGCTGCTCCAGGAGCGGAACGAAGTACGGCCTCGGCCGCGCAGCGCCTCCAGAACTAGTAAGGACAGCACCAGTGCCCTCAGCAGCAGCACCAGCGCCAGCAGCACCTCGAGCTCCACCAGCGCCAGCAGCACCTCGAGCTCCACCAGCGCCAACTCCAGCATCCCCAGAAGCACTAGCGCCAGCAGTACCGCCAGCGCCAACACCCCCAGCAGCTCTTGCTCCAGCAGCTCCAGCTCCACTAGCCTCGGCAGCACAAACTCCAGTAGCCCCAGCAGTACCCCCAATCCCAGCAGCTCCAATACCGCCAGGACGAATACCTCCGAGACCAGCAGCAACAGTAGCACCTACAGCTCCAGCAGCATGTCTCCAGCGGCAAGCAAACCACTAGCGCAGCTCCTATGGAGAGAGTGGCTCCCGCCTCGCCGGCGGCCACACGAGTAGACCCAGGCTCCGCACCCCCAGGCTCCGCACCCCCAGACCCAGCACCCCGAGGCTCAGCACCCCCACACTCAGCACCCCCAGTCTCAGCACCCCCAGTCTCAGCACCTCCAGACCCGGCACCCGCAGGCTCAGCACCTCTAGCACCACCACAGTCAACAGCTACCTCGATAGGCTCGACTGCGTCTACCTGGGACACACCTGACGGGGCAGGACCCTGAGGGGGGAGGGGGTCTACCGGGGGAGGACCTGGCGCAAGGAAGAGCGGCGACGGGGGGAGGTAGGGGAAGAGACGGTAGTAAGGCACCGACTCGTCAAATGTGATGTCCTGGGAGGACAGAACTCGACGCGAGGTGGGGTGGTAAAACTGCCACCTAGGGGCATCAGGGGGGAAGCTAAGGAAGACGTAGGGAACAGCACAAGGGGACTGCTTGTCCGCAGACAAGTCACGGACAAACGCAGACGCATCGCCAACCTTCCCCGTCCACCGCATCGCGGGGGAGGTCTCTAGCAAGGACACCCGGGGCTGAAGATTGAGCTCATGCGCGGCGTACTGAACCGCAAACGACCATAGATAATGGGGGGCAGCCGCATGCATCATGGACGTATGAGCGACGTCCATGACCATGCCAATGCGGTGCTCAGCAATCCCATTTTGCTGTGGAGAGGCCGGAAGCGTGAACATCTGGCGAATGACCCGTGCACGAAAGAAGGCTTGCAGAAGGTCAGAGGAAAACTCTCCGCCTTTGTTAGAGTGCAGACGCAGAACAGGAAAGTCCGAGCCGAAACTCTCTCTCAGGTGGAGACGAGCTGCGCAGATCCAGTCGATCAACACCTCAGTGACTTCACCCTTGCTGCGCAAGGGGAAGACCGTGGTGTACGTGGCCGACGGGTGAACGTGGCCAAGTGTCGGCCCGTCCGAGCACACGTGCAGTGGGTCACTCGCTGACTCAAAGGAGTGAAGTGGTCAACCCCCCTATCCTGTAGGTCCGCTCCACTCACCAAGTTCGTAGAGAACGAGGCGAGGTAGAGACCTGACAGGGTGCCTGAGGGAGCTGCCGGGCACGGTAAGTTAGTGGAGAAGCTAGTAAGGACAGGACCCCCAGAGGGGTCCGCCAGGGAGGCTGCAACCGGCCGACTGAGGGGCGTAAGAGTGGTGCGGTCTCGAAAGAAGGAGCGGGAAGTACCCGAGTCAAGGGTGAAGGTGTGTAAGGCCTGAGCTGACGTAGTACCTGAGAGAGCAGACTCACCAGCACCTGGGGCAGTAGACGCACTAGCACCTGAGGCAGCAGACGCACTAGCACCTAGAGCAGCAGCCTCACCAGCACCTAGAGCAGTGGCCTCAATGCCCGGGTCAGGCGGTACACACAGGTAACAGTCACCCTCAACACTAGTAGTCACAGAATACATTGCAGCAAGGATCGCATCATAGTCAAGATCAAATATGGCAACCCCCGCCGTAGAGAGATCTCCCCAGCGAGGGATCTCTGACGCCTCAGGGAACTGGCGACGCCACGCGTCCGTTAGGCGACCGAAGCAGCGCTGGGTGGAGTGCGGGCCCCCGCATTGCTCACCAGCTTGGTCGCCGGTACGGAGGACGTAAGTGCAGGGACCAGTACTCCCATCGCGCTGACGTGCAGCGTACCACTCACGAAGCTGCTGAGGGGACAGAGTCACACCACTCCGCTGCTGTTGGCGCGGACCACCACTTGACCCACTCCTCTGTGCAGAGTCGCGACCAGCTCCACCACTGCCGCCGCCGCCGCCTTCGCCGCCTCCTCCACCTCCGCCTCCTCCGCCACCTCCGCCTCCTCCGCTCCCTCCACCACCACCGCCGCCTCCTCCGCCTCCATTGTTGCCACCGCCACCACCCCCGCCACCACTCCCACCACCACCCCCACCCCCTCCACTGCCTCCACCACCACCTCCACCGCCCTCACCAGCCCTTCCAGCGCCCTTTTCCCCCTTGCCCTTGCCGGTGCGGCATCTCTCGCTAGGGGTAGACGCAGCGCCGACTGACTCGAAATCAACGAGGTCGGCCGCAGCAGCAGAAGCAATAGAGGGCAAGAGGGGGGAGGGGGAACACCCCTCAAATACGGGGGTGCGATGGTCACCACTAGAGGCTCCTATAGTGACTATGCTCTTCTTTGCTGCTATGAGGCCCTTCTCGAGGAGGTCAACGTTGAGAGTGGTGGGGCAAACTGAGAGGAAGTGGTCCCTGAATGCGCGGAGAGAGTCAGGGAGCCGGGTCACTATGTAGTAGAGAGTGATGTACATGGGGGGGGGGGGTTCTTGGCGCAGAACTCAGCAGGAAGCGCAGCGCGGTAGCGAGTGTCACTAGTGCGGAGGTGCGTAATGAGGTCAGCTACTGTGGGAAGGGCAGCAAGGTCAGGGAAGAGGTACGGTAGCATGAGGCGGCTCAGTGCAGTAGTGGCAGGGTTAGAGTAGCGTGCAACTACAGCGTCGTACAAGGTCTGAGCACTCTTGTACTGGCTAAATTGTGCACGCTCAGCGGTTTGTAAGTGGCGGCGCACAGCATGGCGAGCAGCAGCATCGCGCGTGGCCCATTGTGAGCGATCAGTGGCGTCAGGATCCGCAGCGTGGGCAGGAGAGGCACCAGAAGTGAGGTTAAACAGGGAGAGGCTGTCTGCCTTATCGCACTGTAGGAAAAGCTGTAGATCATCTACCCAGACCTCAAAGTCAACTACCCGACCCTCAGCGTCAAAGGTGAGAACACTAGGGTTGGCCATGACCGCAGTGGCCTAGTAGGGAGTGAGCTCACCAGTCCGAGGAAGGAGGGTCGGGGCGCACCGGTAGGAACAGCAGCGGCTCGACAGTAGGGCGGCTTGGCGGCTCGGCAGTTCGGCGGCAGGGCGGCTCGGCGGCTGGGCGGCTGGGCGGCTCGGCTGCTGGGCGGCTCGGCTGCTGGGCGGCTCGGCTGCTGGGCGGCTTGGCTGCTGGGCGACTCGGCTGCTGGGTGGCTCGGCTGGGCCGTGAAGGGCAGCGTTGCTGCCGCTAAGGAGCGGTGACGGGGCCGCTGAAAGGTTAGCGACGGGGCCGCTGAAAGGGCGGCGACGGGGCTGCTGAAAGGGCGGTGACGGAGCCGCGGAAGGGCGGCGACGGGGCCGCTGAAAGGGCGGCGACGGGGCCGCGGAAGGGCGGCGACGGGGCCGCTGTGAAGGGCGGCGTCGGGGCTGCGGAAGGGCTGCGACGAGGCCGCTGAAGGGCGGCAACGGGGCCGTGGAAGGGCGGCGACGGGGCCGTGGAAGGGCGGCGACGGGGCCTTGGAAGGTCGGCGACGGGGCTGTTGAAGGGCGGCGACGGGGCCGTGGAAGGGCGGCGACGGGGCCGCGGAAGGGCGTCGGCGGGGCCGCTGAAGGGCGGCAACGCGGCCGTGGAAGGGCGGCGATGGGGCCGCGGAATGGCGGCGACGGGGCCGCAGTCAGGGGGGTGGTGACGGGGCCACTTTAGGGTGGCAACGTGGCCGCAGTAAGGGGCGGCGTCGGCGCCGCTTTAAGGCGGCGACGCGGCCGCAATAAGGGGGGCGGCTAAGGGGCCGCGAGGGGCCACGAGGGGGCCGTGAGGGCGGTGCGACAGGGCCGCAAGGGCGGCACGACGGGGCTGTGAGGACGGCGCGACGAAGCCACTAGGGGCCGCGAGAGACGGGGCGCGACTTGAGCAGGGGCCAAGCGCGCTCTGAGCAAAAAAAAAGTTCGGTGGGCCCCAGGAACAGTTCCTACGAGGGAACCAGCTCTATACCATGTGAAAATTAGAACGAGAATGAATGTGACTAAGGGAAAGTTGGATACAAGTACAATACCTAGAAATGTGTTGTACCCCATATGTGCTACCCCACTATAGCCTACATAGGCTTAGTCATATAAGCCTGACAGGTGTGTCAAACATGTATTTGTACTAGGCTAGTGAGGTTTTCTATAGTGGGTACAAATTTTCTAGGGATAGCCATTTGTACCCCTATCTTGCTAGTCCATTTCATTCAGCTATACTTATAGTTCGCACGTCCGCCCTGCCCGTTAGCAGGCCACGCCCCGCCGGTACGCAGGCCACGACCCGCCCCGTCCCGTAATCGTCCCATCCCGTACCCATCCCATCCCCTACCCGTCCAGCACACGTAGAACGTATGCTGCTGCGCCCCCAAAGCTGCGCGCAGCCACGCACGTAGAACCGCATGCCCGCATCCGTGCATGCGCAGCAGCAAGCATGCAGTCGCGCGCTGGCAGCTACACACATGCAGTCGCGCCCGAGCAGCCGCCCACACGTAATAGTGCACATGCAACTGCACGCACGTTGGGGTGCAGAGCTACGCACACGCGCAGCTGCACACGCATCACTAGTCGCGTGCACAACAGCAAAAAAATGTGCAGCTGCAGCCGCACGTGTAGCAGCAGCCTCACGAGCAGAGGCAACCGCAAGCACACCAGTAGCTGTCAAGTTGATATGCTATGGTCTATCTAGGCTGTAGTGGGGTAGATATTATAGGGTACAACATTTCTAGGTTTTCTACTTGTACCCACATTTCACCTAGTCATTTCTTTCACATGGTATAGAGCAGGTTCCCTAGTGGGAGCGTTTCCTAGGGCCCATCACGAAAATCAGAATTTTTTTTTTTTCCTGCCTGGACCGCGCTTCGCTCCTGCCCGAGTCGCGCCTCGTGTGCCTGCCCTCCCGTTGCGTCCCCTGCCCTTAGCGGCCTGTCGCGCCCTCTTACGGCCCCGTAGTGGCCCCTCTTACGGCCCCTCGCGGCCCCTTTGCGGCTCCCTCGCGGCCTCTCCGCGGCCCTTCGCGACCCCTCTCACGGCCCCTCGCGGCCCCTTCGCGGCTCCCTCCCGGCCCCTCCGCGGCCCTTCGCAGCCCCTCTCACGGCCCTTCGCGGCCCCTTGCGGCCCCGTCGCCGCCCTTCACGGCCCCTCGCGGCCCCTTCTCGGCCCCGTCGCCGCCCTTCGCGGCCCCTCACGGACCCTTCTCAGCCCCGTCGCCGCCCTTCGCGGCCCCTCACGGCCCCTTCTCGGCCACGTCGCCGCCCTTCGCGGCCCCTCACGGCCCCTTATCGGCCCCGTCGCCGCCCTTCGCGGCCCCTTCACGGCCCTTTGTGGCCCCTTCGCCGCCCTTAGCGGCCCCTTCTTGGCTCCTCCGCGGCCCCTTCTCGGCTCCTTCACGGCCCTATCGCCCCGCCGTAGCTGCCCCAGAAGCAGCAGCCGTCGCCGCTGCCGACAGCAGAAGCCGCCGCCGCCGCCGCCGCTGTGACACCCGCAGCCGCCGCGGCCGCCGCCAGCAGCAGCCGCCGCCGCCGCCGCCACTCCCGTGACAACCGCCACCGCCGCTGCCGGGGCTGCGGCGGCGGCCGCCGCCGACAGCAGGAGCCGCCGCCGCCGTCCCGTCCCTTCCCTGCAGAGAGGAGCGGCACTCTTCTGCCGCCCTGTCGCGGCCCTGTCCATGCCGGCGCGCCTCAGCCTTGCCCCACCACTTGCGGACCTCTACCCACCCGCCCCTGGTAAGAGCACCGCTGAGCCACGCCCCTCCTGCTGCTGGTGCTTTTTCTAGCCTGCTATTGATGCTATTGCTGTCATGGCAACCCCCAATGTTCTCACCTTTGATGCTGAGGGTCAGGCTATCGACTTTGAGGTCTGGGTCCATAATCTGCAGCTTTTCTGCAGTGCGATAGGAAAGACGGTCTCTCACTGTTCGAGCTTACGTCGGGCGCCTCTAATGCCCCTGCTGCCGATGCTCACAGCACTGTTCGCTCACAGTGGGCCACACGCGATGCTGCTGCCCATCTTGCTGTACGTAGGCATCTGCCGTCCACTGAGCGCGCGCACTTTAGTCAGTACAAGAGTGCTAAGACCTTGTACGACGCTATAGTTGCACGCTACTCTTCCCCTGCCACTGCTGCCCTTAGCCGCCTCATGCTGCCCTACCTATTCCTTGACCTCGCCACCTTTCCCACAGTCGCTGACTTCATTACGCACATTCGCATTACCCGCTACCGCGCTGCGCTTCCTCCTGAGTTGAGCGCCAAGAACCCCACCCCCCCCCCCATGTACATCACCCTCTACTACATAGTCACCCGGCTCCCTGACTCCCTTCACTCGGTCAAGGACCACTTCCTCTCTGTTTGCCCCACCACACTCACCATTAACCTCCTTGAGGAGTGCCTCCTGGCAGCTGAGAAGATTATAGTCACAGTAGGAGCCTCTCGTGGTGACCCTCATTCCCCCTTCTTTGAGGGGTGCTCCCCCTCCCCCCTTTTGCCCTCTGTTGCCTCTGCTGCTGCCGTCGACTTCGTTGGCACCGAGTCGGTCGGCGCTGCGTCTGTCCCTAGCAGGAGACGCCACACCCGCAAGGGCAAGGGGGGCAAGGGCGCCGGAGGAGCTCGCGGGGGCGGTGGAGGTGGAGGTGGAGGCGGCAGAGGGGGTGGAGGTGGAGGTGGGAGTGGTGGCGGGGGTGGGGGCTTCGGTGGCGGCGGTGGAGGCGGAGGCGGCGGCGGACGTGGCGGTGGGAGCGGAGGAGGAGGCAGTGGCGGAGGCAGTGGCGGCGGTGGCAGGGGTGGCGGCGGCGGCAATGGAGCTAGTCGGGGTGGCTCTGCGCAGCGGGGCGGCTTCGGTGGTGGTCAGCGCCAGCAGCAGCAGCGCACTCGTGAGACCCCGCCCCCCCAGCAGCTTCGTGAGTGGTACGGTGCGCGTCAGCGGGGTGGGGGTGCTGGTCCTTGTGCCTACGTCCTGCGTACCGGAGACCGCACTGGTGAGCCGTGCGGTGGCCCGCACACCACCCAGTGCTGCTTCGGCCGCCTGACGAATGCTTGGCGTCTCCAGTTCCCTGACGCCACTGAGATCCCCTGCTTGGGCGAGCTACTTAGGTCAGGGGTTGCTATCTTTGATCCGGATTATGATGCTATTCTTGCTGCGATGTATGTTGTGTCTACTAGTGATGAGGGTTACTGTCACATTTGTGTTCCGCCTGCTCCGGGCATTCAGGCTACTGCTCTAGGTGGTGGTAAGGCTGCTGCTCTAGGTGCTAGCGCGTCTGCTACCCCAGGTGCTGGTGAGTTTGCTCTCTCAGGTACCACGTCGGCTCAGGCCTTCCACACCTTCACCCTTGACTCGCGTGCTTCCCGCTCCTTCTTTCGAGACCACACCACACTCAAGCCGCTTAGTCGGCTAGTTGCGGTCTCCCTGGCAGACCCCTCCGCGGGTCCTGTCCTTGCCCGCTTCTCCACTGTCTTACCGTGTCTGACAGCCCCTTCTAGCACCCTCTTAGGTCTTTACCTCCCCTCGTTCTCTACGAACTCGCTGAGTGGTGCTCATCTACAGGATTGGGGGGTTGACTAGTTCACTCCTGGGAGTCACCGAGTGACCCACTTTACGTGTGCTCAAACGGGCCAACACTTGGCCACATTTACCCGTCAGCCAGGGTCGAGCCTGTATACACTGACTACTCAGTCTCCTCCGGCTGCTGAGTCTGGTCCGTAGTTGCGTCGGGTCAGGTGTTTGCTGCAGCGTCCAGGTCTGGTATTGAGTCTGCCCCCTGCTCGTGTCGTCTCCTGTCCCACCGGACCCTCCTCTGGCACCACCGCCTTGGTCACCCCTTGCCTCGTCTTCGTGGCATGGCCTCTCGTTACCTTCTCTCTGGTCTCCCTCGGTCCCTCCCTCCCCTCCCTCAGGGGCCTGCCCCTACCTGCATTCCCTTCGTCGAGGGGCGGCAGCGCACCACTCCTCACTCCTCCAAGTTTCAT